AGAGAGAGAGAGAGAGAGAGAGAGAGAGAAGGGAAAAGTGACGTTTGACAGTCTTACCATTGAGTAGTCAATGGTAAACTTTGACCTTTTGCACTAATCTGTCAATTGTAAACTTTGTCCTCTTACACAAAGCTGTTAATTGTAAACTTTTACCTCTTACACTGATAAGTCAATTGTAAACTTTGACCTCTTACACTGAGCAGTCCATTGTAAACTTTGACCTCTTACAATGAGCAGTCAATATATTGTAAACTTTGACCTCTTACAATGAGCAGTCAATTAATTGTAAACTTTGACCTCTTACAATGAGCAGTCAATTAATTGTAAACTTTGACCTCTTACATTATGCTGTCAGTTGTAAACTTTGACCTCTTACAATGAGCAGTCAATTGTAAACTTTGACCTCTTACACTGAGCAGTCAATTGTAAACTTTGACCTCGTACGCTATGCTGTCAATTGTAAACTTTGACCTCAGCGAATCTGGCACCACACGTTCTACAACGAGCTGAGAGTTGCGCCGGAGGAGCACCCAGTCCTCATGACGGAAGCCCCCCTGAACCCTAAGGTCAACCGAGAGAAGATGGTCCAGATCATGTTTGAGACGTTCAACGCCCCTGCCTTCTACGTTGCTATACAGGTAATAACAAAGGGAAAGAAAGAAAGAAATGAATATATAAATGAATGAATGAATGAATGAATAAATGAATGAATGAATGAATGAATGAATGAATGAATGAATGAATGAATGAATGAATGAATTATTTTTTTGAAGTAGAGGGTTTTACGGCGCTCGCATCTGCATAAGGTCATATGAGCGCCAGAATGAATGAATGAATGAATGAATGAATGAAAGATATAATGAATGAATAAATGAATGAATAAACGAAATCTTCGACTTTTTAGACCCTGTATCGTAAACAATTTATTTTTTGAAAAAGACGGTTTGTACATAAACTGACAAAACACTCATATTGCTGATCCTTCAAATTCATATTACGTATTGAAATATTTTTTTAAATTAAAAAATCATTACGAATCATAAGACTTAACGTATTGACAAGTCTGCAAGGTGTGTGAAAGCGTAATAAGTCAAAGATATTATTGGAATATGATATTATTATGTGTGTATTGGTATGTCTACAGTGTGCTAATTGATCTAATTAGGTGTCCCTTAAACTTAAAAAAAATATAATGCTGATCATGTTTGAGAGATTCAACAATCCAGTCTTCCAAATCGCAAGATAAGTTTTAAAAAAAACAAAGAGAGAGAGAGAGAGAGAGAGAGAGAGAGAGAGAGAGAGAGAGAGAGAGAGAGAGAGAGAGAGAGAGAGAGAGAGAGAGAGAGAGAGAGAGAGAGAGAGAGAGAGAGAGAGAGAATGGGGGTTGTTTTGTCTCTTCCTGTCTCGCTATAATCGAGTGCGCGAGTAACCTTTCTCTCTTTGTCTCTCATTTGGGTTCCTAGTAGAGTTAAATGGTGCAGTCCATGGGGAACTGGAATTACATCAGAGTGAGCAGTTTTGGTACATTATTGTAACGCAAATCTAAGACACATCCCTTCTCCACAGGCTGTGCTACTGACTGAAGTGTCTTTAGGCCATTCCCAAAGGGGGGACATTAACTTGTTCTTATGAACGTTAGAATTGTAAATGGATTGATTCATCAATGTCATGCTCATAACTATGCCTGAACTGCGAAATGGAAGTGCTGCTTTTTCTTTCCTAATCCTTACTATCGTCCTTTTTTCCTCTACTTCTTTTGTATGTTTGGCACACTCTTGTGACCCGCTATTTTCGGGGTGCCTCGATAGTCGAATCAGACTTCATGCTGTTGAAGCTAGAGAGGTGAGCAGAGTAAGCCTGATTCCCCGTATGGACTTCTCTGTTGACACCCACCCCTTGGCGCTCATATGACCTTATACAGTTGCGAGCGCCCTAAAAACTCTACTAAAACAAAAAAACAGGCTGTGCTGAGCCTGTACGCGTCGGGTCGCACGACTGGAATCGTCCTGGACTCCGGAGATGGCGTCTCCCACACGGTACCCATCTACGAAGGCTACGCCCTCCCTCACGCCATACTCAGGCTCGACCTGGCTGGCCGTGATCTCACCGACTACCTCATGACCATTCTCACAGGTTTGTAGACAGCGTGAGGGCCATCACCATCACCATCATCATCATCATCATCATCATCATCATCATCATCATCATCATCATCATCATCATCATCATCATCATCATCATCATCATCATCATCGATGATAAGTTCCTTTGAATGACAAAATTCTTTTTTGCCGTCGGCTTCGCAGAATCATTGCAAAGTGCTTCAGAGGCACCTCTATTCGCCACTCGATTTGAGTTATTTGGACGAGTATAATGACTATGGAGCCGAAAGAGAGCCTCGCTCTAGCCCGAAGATTTCTTTGTGGAGTCCACCTGGCCCATTGAGGAAATAAAAAAACATCATCATCGTCATCATCATCATCATCATCATCATCATCATCATCATCATCATCATCATCATC